GCCCCTCCAGCCCCAGCCCCGCCCCAGCAGCCACACCCGTCTTAGACCCGCCCAGAGTCCCTGGTCCGCGGGACGCTTGCGCATTTCTTAGGGCGTCTTGGCACTGCCCGCATCCAAATGTGGGCAAAGTGGGAACCTCGAGTTCTCTACACACCCTGCTGCAGTGGCTTTTCTTGCTCTCTTAGAGCTGATTTTGCCTTTCTTGGCCCTGCGAAACCGGTTTCTCTTTCACTTATGGGGCGTAAGAGGGCATGTTTTAAGTTAGGCGATCTTCGGGCAGCTCGTCTCCTGGCGCAGGGTCCTTGGGCTGAGCCTTGGGGCGACAGCCGGTAAGGCCGGGTCTTTCTCTGGGGCGGTCGCGCAGGCAACGGCTGCGGGAAGCCGGACGCAGGGCGACATGTACTACAAATTTAGTGGCTTCACGCAGAAATTGGCAGGAGCATGGGCTTCCGACGCCTATAGCCCGCAGGTATGGGTAGCGCTGCGCCGGCTCGGGCAGAAGTTGCGGCCCAAGCCTCTGTGCCAGGCAGTGGCGGCCCCGGACTTTAGTTTGCTTTAGTTCCCCCCGCACCTCCCGGCGCCTCTCTGCACCCACTTGCAGCGGCCATGGAGGCTCCCATTTCTGTAGCTGCTCTCCCGGCGGGGCTGGACCGGCGCGAAGTTGACCCTGGCACTCAGCAGGGTCAAGGTGACCCTGGGCTCGTTGCCGGTGGTTCGTGGGGTCGGCGGGGCCCGGAACGTGACCCAACCGAGACTGAAGTTAGGTCCTGTCTTATTTAAGGAGGTCCGGCTTTCCGTTTCCTCGGTGCCCCGTTGTCACCCCCTGCCGCAGCTCTGCAGGCAGCCTCATCCCAGCACGAGGTTGGAGAGCTGGGATGATGGCGCTGAGGGAAGCCAAAGGGCCCGGAAAAGTTGTAAGATCAGAATTGGGAGACTTGACGGGTTCCTTGACATGTCGGGGTGAGTCTGGGCAGTTACATGCAACGAGCTTACACTTTCCCGGCTCTAAAATGGTTGACAGATGCTGGTCTGAAAAGTGTTCCGACTTCACTCAGATTTTGCCAATTGGAGTTTCAATCTCCAGCTTGTGCTGTAGAGGTAAGGGGCTTTTAGAGTCCCATACTCTTAATTTGGGCTCAAAATCTGGCTTGGCTGCTTTTACTTTATGACCTTGACCAAGTTACGTAATTTATTGAGCTCAGTTTCATGTAGGGCAGCGGTAGTGCAGATTAAATGAGGTGTGTGTAAGTGATGAACACTCTTTGGCAGGTGGTTGGTACGGGATAGGTGGTAACTATTCTCCTGAAGCTGGGTCTGAGATATTCATCATATTCACTTCTCATCCTCATGGAGTGATGTGGGAAAGACTGATGAGAGAGGCAGTTGGAAAACGGAACTGGAATGGAATAGTAAGGGGCTCAGGCACAGTGCAAAGGGTGCTCCATTGTTAACTCCTTTTCCCGTGGAGCCCTGCGACTTGCCTAAGGGGGGAGGATGGTTAAGTGAGTTCAGTCTAAGGTTAGATGTGCTATTAACTAGGGTAGGGAGGGCAAGAAGAAGGGCAAGGTTTTTTTTTGGGGGGGGGGAGTGGTTGGGGAGGAATGGTCTAGGTTTATAAATGTTGAACTCGTGATATGTCTGATAGCAGCTGGATTTATGAATATGGAGTAAATAGAGCTTCAGCCCATAGATAGTAGAATCTGATGGGAAGACCACCTAGAAATATACAGGGAAGAAAGGTGGGAATATGATTAGACTACAGAAACATGAAAGGAGGGTGGAGGAGGAAAATTTATCAAAAGGAGAATCCAAGATTAGAAGGGAGACCAATGTGGTGTCACTGAAACCAAACTGATAATGAGATCTAAAGAAGGAATTGTCAACAGTGATTTCCTTGACAGATTATGGGAAAATGGTCATTTCTGTCTTGTCTGCTTCTCCTATAAAGTGTAATTTTCAGTACAAAGATCTTAAATGTTAACAGTTGAATGAGTTGACACACACACACACACACACACACACACACACACACACACAAACACTGTGTAACCCACACCCCTATTAACATATAGAACGTTACATCACCCCAGGAAGGTTCCCTCTTACGCTTGCCCTGTCGGTTCTTGTCCACTCCCCTATTCTGACTTTTACCATTATAGATAGTTTTGCTTATTTTTGAATTTCATTTAAATGGAATCACACGGTACTCTGTGTGAGGCTTATTTTTCTCAATATTTTTGAAGTTTATTCAAGTTACATGTATTAGTAATTAGTTCCTTTTATTGTGTAGGATTTATTGTATGGATATATCACAATTGGTCTATTCTGTTAGTTGTTGTAAATGTTCTTTTAGTAGAGTTTTAGTATAACTAGGTTGTGTTACTTAGTAAGGAAAAAGCGAAATTTTAGATTAAAACTAACACTGACATTAAATTGGCATTCAGGGCAGAGGTTACCCTGAGTTGCATTTGGTACAAATAGGGCTTTCAGATTTCTGTCACCTCTTGAATTGTGTTTCTCTTGAGAATTTGAGTTGCTCAGTTAAAGATTTCTTAAGTTATGTTCAAAGAAATGATAATATGTAGGCTTTATATGAATTGTGTATTTCAGAGTGATTGTGACAAGCATCCCCCAAACCTGACATTCTGACTTTGGTAATTAGGAGTCAAGTTTTTCCTTTCTTGGCAACATTAGCACACTGGAAAACGTAGATGTCTGTAACTTTCAGTATTATGTAAAGTGCATTGAATAACCTAACATTCACTGAATAACCTAATATGGAAAAGTTAGCTCTATAACAATAGTATAGTTAGAGATTTATAAATCAACTTGTTGGCAAGTAATTGTGGGGAGGGTATTTTCTAATGGTTGATTGAAAAGCATTTTCCTTACCTTCATGTGTCATGTCAAATAAACTGAGGCCAATAAACACGTGAAAAGATGATCAACGTCATTAGTCATTAGAGAAATGCATTTCAGAACCACAGTGGGAAAAAAAATCATGTTTACTTTTCTCTTAAAAAATTGGGAGCAACTAAAATAGATTAGGAAGAACTCAACTACTAAACATTGTTACTATTGAATGGCTCCTAATCAATTATAGAGGTAATGACTGTAACAACTGAGAGATTCAATATTAGTAAGCAAACCCTGTGATTTGTTTGGTCTACAGTCACTTATTTTGTTGTTGTTTTTGGTGTTTTTGGCTGAGCCATGTGCCACCTGGTGGCAGCTCAGCGGCAGCTCAGCTTGGGCCGGGACTCGAACCGCTGTTGCTCAGAGCTTGCTCAAGAGTGTGAGCTCTTAACCAACTGAGCCACTCGGCCAACCCTACAGTCCACTTATTTTAACAGCAGCCATCAAGTGCTGATTTACTTGACTTTGGTTCTGAAATATTCAAGTCTACACTGTGAAACTATAGACTTCCTTAGCTTATTTATACATTCGACAGATATTTACTGAATGCACTCTGTGTGCCAGTGGCTTTTCTAAGCCTTGGGAAATAAGAACAGTGAACAAAACATGCCAAAATCCTGGGGCTTCCATTGCAGTATGGGTGGGGGGGACACAGTAAACAAGGTAGAATGTAGTTTGTTGATGGTGATAAGTGCTGGGGAGAAAAATAAAGCAGGAAAGGGGATAGGTTGTTGGCAGGTTAAAGGGGAGGACGTCCAGTCTTAGAAAGGGTGGTTAAGGGAAGGTCTCACTGAGAAGGTGACATGGGCAGACTTGAAGGAGGTGAGGCTGCAAGCCACGTTGGTAACCTGGAGAGCATTCTAGGCAGAGGGAACATGCCGGGTGCCCGGGAGGTAGGTGTAAGGGGCTAGTCCAATGGCCTGGGGCAGAGAAACGGGGTGATGTCAGGTGGTGGTGGTAGGGGGGTTTGAGGTGTACATTTCATAGGGCCCCGCAGCCATTGGAGGAACTTTGGAGGAACTCATTGAGATGGGAAGCCTTTGGGAGGATTTGAGCTGAGTAATGACAGCCTTTGTTTTAACACCATCACCGGTGCTGCATTTGGAGAAGCCTGCAGGGCAGCAAGGGTGGGAGCAGGTGGCCAGTTAGGAGGGTGTTGTAGAAATCGAGGGGCTTGGACCAGAGTGCGGATTGGTGGAGATGGGTGAGAAGTGGTCAGATTCTGAATGTACTTTGAAGGTACAGCCAAAAGGATTTGCAAATGTGTGAGCGAGAGGTATAAAAGTAATTCCAAGGTTGTCGGCCTGAGTAGCTGGAAGATGGCTTTGTCATTTATTGAGATGGGGAGAGGCATATTTGAGGCTCATAATTCTTGTAGGTTGGGGCAACCTCAGCCCTGGGAGAGGCATAGGTGAAGGGATTTGCTCTAGGTCCCTTCCTGTGAATACAGCTTCCTGGTCAAGCCTACTCTTGAGAATCCTACTGCTAGTCCTGTCCATCTGCCTCGAAACATTGGGAACAGTGATTGCTCTTAAATTGTCAGGAGGTTTAATGATGGGCAGGTGAAGTACCTTCCCATCACATTCATTCTTTCACCTGTGGGGCCATGACAGCTGGATTATCGATAGTATGGTATAAAAAAAAGTGTGGGTTTGAATCCCATCTTCCTTATGGAATCTCTGAGCTTTCTTTCAATCATTTGTTACATGGTCTGATAATACCTCATTCACAGGGTTGATGTGGAGAATAAATTTAGTTATGAAGATGGTGTAAGAATCTGAAAGAAATGCTTATTAGAAATGAAGAAAAGCAGAATGTAGGATTTTACATGACTAAAGATATTAAAATATGGGCCGGCCGAGTGGCACGATGGTTAGGAATTGGCTTGGGACGCCAGAGGGCCCCGGTTCGGATCCCACATATGAGGGCCAGTGACACTGCCCTCCACAGCTAAGATGCTGAACAACAGCTCAACCTGGAGCTGGACTGCTGTGAGTCGCCGGTGACGGCGTAGGCTGCAGCCCCTGTGGCAGTGGGTTGCCATGGGCTACCGTGTGTAGCCAGCAGCCAGCGTGAGCGGCCAGCAGCTGCAGTGAGCGGCCGTCCAGAAGCCGGCAACTGATCTGCCTCGCCCGGGAAGAGCGCAATGATGGTGCCAACTTGGGCCAGTGAAGCAACGTCCTCCACAACTAGACCGAAGAACAAAAGGACAGCAACTTGTCTGTTCCCCTTCCCCAAATTCCCCAGCGCTGTTCCCATACCCCCAATTCCCCAATAAAAATCTTAAAAAAAAAAAAAGATATTAAAATATGCCTATGAAGAAAGATTGGAGGAGAATATACAATTTATAATAATTGATAGGATAAGATAATGGGATGATAAGTAATTTGAAAATTCTATATTCTAAACTTTGTAATATAAATGGAAATATGAAATTATTTAAAACTGTTAAATAGTTGATATTCTTGTTTTCAGATGATATTGTTCAAAACTGCTGTAGTTTTAAATCAGTTGATGGGTGAACAAAGCCATTAGGTATAGTCCTGTCTAAAAATGCTTTCACATTAATCCTGTCAAAACATGAATTTAATTTCAAACCATTTTTGGAGATGCTTGGTAGGAAAGGTTTTAAATTTTTGCATTCAAGGGGAAATGATCATTAGGAGAAAATACAAATTGCTCACAGAATGATAAGGGAGTGTCTAAAATTCTCCAGTTCAAAAAGAGATCCTTTTAAGTGTTACTTCAGTAGTTAGGGCCCTCTTTCCATTTGAGACTCCTCTGAGTGTGTTATATCCCAAATGTAGGCTAATAGCTTACTGACTAAACTTTCTCTTTAAGTGGATTGTTGTTTTGTTTTTTTTTTAAAGATTTTTATTGGGGCATCGGGGGAAGGGAAACAGACAAGTTGCTGTCCTTTTGATCTTCGGTCTAGTTGTGAGGACATTGCTTCACTGGCCCAAGTTGACACCATCATTGCGCTCTTCCCTGGTGAGGCAGATCAGTCGCCGGCCTCTGGACGGCCGCTCACTGCGGCTGCTGGCCGCTCACGCTGGCTGCTGGCCGCTCACGCTGGCTGCTGGCTACACACAGTAGCCCATGGCAACCCACTGCAGCAGGGGCTGCAGCCTACGCCGTCGCCAGTGACTCACGGCAGCCCAGCTCCAGGTTGAGCTTTTGTCCAGCATCTTAGCTGTGGAGGGCAGTGTCACTGGCCCTCATAGTTGGGATCCGAACCGGGGCCCTCTGGCATCCCAAGCCAGCTCTTAACCAACGCGCCACTCGGCTGGCCCTGGAACATTGGCCTGTTCCAATGCCCAGACATACTTTCAACTTAACAATTTCCTTTTTTTCCTACAGGGATTAAAGCCCGTGGTTTCCACAGAAGCACCACCTATCATATTTGCCACGCCAACTAAATTGACTTCTGATTCTACTGCATATGATTTTACTGGGAAAAACAAAGTTCCAGAGCTGCAGAAGTTATTCCAGGTGAGAAAAGATGCTGTAGAACAGAGAAGCCTGTGAAATCAATAGATCTAAAAAAACCCCTGTGACACGGAGTCTCAATCTAGTTTACTACTCATCCTATCTTTCCTTAAATAGAATTCTCTTGATTTTAGTTTGAGGCATAAACTAGTAGAACTTTTTGTAGGTAGAAACCGATAAAAGGGGAGTGTGATTAATTTCCTCTTCAGTTTTTGAGGGTGTGCAGATTTTTAAACTGCATGTTATAGCTGTTGATCATCTGTTGTATGGAGGAAGCAATAGCATGTATAATGTAGAAAACATTATGAACAATCCAATATATATAGACGGTGCCAAAAAAATGTATACACATTTTAAGAAAGGAAAAAACTATTAAAATTGTAATACTCAATATATACCGATAACAAAAGATGAATACAAGTCACGTTTGTCTTCTGCAATTACAAGAGGTGCTCAAAGTGGTTACCATCAGCGTCCAGACACTTCTGATTACGGCGAACTACTGCTTGAGCAACATTGACCAAAATGTCCACTTGTATACATTTTTTGAAACTCCTGGGTTTTAGCTTTGTGACACATCCAGTGACTGTTGGCATAGTTTTCTTCTGATTTTTGCTTGCTTGATATTAAAATTCACTGAGCTGTTGCTAGAAGTGGAGGAGGCTTTCTTGGGTTTGCTGATCAACACAGAGAAGACAGAATTGAATTTTAAAATATTACTAATGTTAATCTACATAGAGGTCAGTGACCCAACTATGTCCCAGAGGTACCGTGGGAGTGGAGTACCTGTTACTGCTGTTGCTGGATGGTAGCTTCTCCCTCCTCAAAGTTGTGTCCAGATTCAGGACTGGCTTGGGGGCGTTTGATCAATTTCATCCCTTTTTATCTGATAAGTAAGACTTGAGTGGGCATCTGGAACCTTGAGTTGCAGTGGGGAGGGATTTTGTGGACTGTAAAATAATGGATTAAACATTTTATGGAGTCTCATTATTAAACGGGTTAACAGCTTAATTGAAAGAAGACAGTTGAACACAAAATGGATTTGAACCTATTAATTGACCTGGTGTGCTCAGACTTCTTCCACTAATGATCAGGAAGTCAAACTAAATGTAGAACTAAATGGAGAGCATTTTTGTGCCTACTGTTCTTTGTTTAGCTGCTAATTACTTTTATGTTAAAAAAAAAGTTCACGAGTGCTTCTTTCCTCTTTAAGCCACATGGTAAATTCCTTAGAAATTTGGGGTTTGTTGCGTGTATGTTCCTGAGGCTGCATTTTGGAGATTGACTTTGGACTTACAAGCTTTAGTTACATTTATAAGAAAATATACCAGTATTTCAGTTAGCATTTTAATGGATTAGGGCTTTTTCCACTGCGGTGTGTTAAAGGGTTAGATATAAAGGAGAGACATTTGTTCTTTATTAGCCTAAATTGTGAATCTTTTTATCAACCATGTCCTTAATAACTTTTCTTTCAAGAAGTCCGATGGTGTGCCCATCCACCTGAAACGAGGCCTGCCTGACCAGATGCTGTACCGGACCACCTTGGCGCTGACGGTGGGAGGGACCATCTACTGCCTTATCGCCCTCTACATGGCTTCCCAGCCCAGAAACAAATGAGTTAGGCTGCGGAGGACTCTTGTGCTTTTTGGCATAAACCCCTTTGAATTTTTATTTTTTGTTGTTTCTATAAAATTCTTTTTTACTTGAATGGCCTACTTAACATTTTGCAAGGAAAAGAAATAGAAAGATATTAAGACAGTATTTTGGTTGGATTATGAAGTGCACATGGCCTGTCAGAACTCTTTCAACAGTTCAAACTATTGTTCAAAGAAATGCTGCTGCTGTTGGAGTTGGGCTCTAGTTTCCCTGGAGGCTCTGGATGGAGGCTGCACAGGACTCCTCAGGGGCAATCTGGGCTGAGGGCCTTGGGGCCTGCTGGTGGTGTTCTCCAGCATGAGGTGCAGAAGCTTTTCTGGATTTGGATGTGACTGAGGAAGGAAGACAGAAGCCAAGGCCAGGTGTATGAAATGAGGGGTTTGAGTTAGGCCTTACCTTGGGGATTTTTTCCATCTTGCAGTAAATTGTTAGTAGAAATTATTTGCAACATGCCTCCATTCGTCGGGCAGTTTGTTTCAAAGGGTTGTTTGCTTCAGCTCAGATCTTCAAGAAATTTTATGTATAATTGTTATGTGTTTATTCCACCATGGGAACAGAACACCTGTTTAGTGTTGCACTTTAGATCGATGTCTGTTTTATCAATGCAGCTGTGACACAAAGTCTCCTTTACCTTTTAAAATGTTATGGCTTTTAAATTATGATTTATTTTGATTGTGGAATAAATACATGAATGGAAAATCTCAAGTTTGAAGTCCTTTTAAATGATCTTTTAAAATAATTTCAGAACCCCAGAGACATCGTAAACCTGAGTCCAATTTCTTTCTTTTTCATTAGGTACCTGATAATCTTTACAAAACGCTTCCTCGAAGTCAAGTAATAGGAGGCTAATGGTATATTGATGATTACCATATGGCACCTTATAGGAAACCTGCTTGTGCCTCATGAAATGTGCCTGTAACACACAGTTCATTTAGACATTAATTTCCTGTCACTTTTGGTAGCTTTGACATACCCTATATTAATGCTGAAAAAAGGTGGAATTTTATTACACGTGAAGTGGCGGTTTGTATCTTGCCATAGGAAAGAACAGTGACTTCTTGACGGAGGATAAAATATGGTGTTTGAAAACAACAGCCTAGGAAGCCCTTATTTGTGTAAACAAGTCTAAACTTTAGTCTCGTCTGGTATTTCCCCCACATTTTTATTTTGAAAAATTTCAGACTACAGAAACATTGTAAGAATAGTATAGTAGACACCTGTACACCCTTCACTTAGATCACCAGTTATCAATATATTGCCACCTTCTTGCTTCCTTACAAACAGGCACACAGTGAAAGTATGGACACACACATTTGGGTTTTGCTGAATCATTTAAGATTAAGCTATGGAATTACAATGATTCAGCCATACATACGTTAGCCGGTATCTTCTCAGAATAAGGGTATATCATACAGATGTCACATCCAATTTAACATTGATAACAATTCTAATATCTAATATTCAGTCTGTGTTTAATTTTCCCCAGGAATCCTAATAATGTATCCTTTGTGGGTGTGTTTTTTGAAATAATAGACTTATTGGGATGTGATTCACATACCACACAATTCACCTTTTATACTATTTAAAGTGTGCAATTCAGTGGGTTTTGCTATATTCGGAGTTGTGGAACCGTCACCACAAATCAGTTTTAAAACATTTTCATTACCCTAAGAGTAAACCTTATGTCCCATTAGCAGTCACCCCTGTTTCCTCTCCCACCTGCTAGCCCTAGGCAACCACTAATCCATTTTCTGTCTGTACAGATTTGTTTTTTTCTGGACACTTCATATAATCATACAATATGCGATCTTTTGTAACTGGCTTCTCTCAGTGTAATGCTTTCGAGGTTCATCCGTGTTGTATAAATCAGTACCTCATTCCTTTTTATGGCTGAATAGTATGTCACATGGATAGACCACATTTTGTTTATCCATTCATCAGTTGATGGACATTTGGGTTATTTCTACTTTTTGGCTATTGTGAATAATGCTTCTATGAACATTGGTATACAAGTTTTTGTGTGGACATACGTTTTTATTTTTCTTGGGTATATACCTAGGGATGGAATGGCTGGGTCATAAAGTAACTCTGTATTTAACTTTTTGAGGAATTGCCAGACTGTTTCTAAATCAGCTGTACTCTTTTACATGCCCCTAGCAGTTGTTTGTTTGTTTGTTTTGGGTCCAGGATCCACTCAAGGATCACACATTGCATTTAGTTGTCATGTCCCATTAGTCTCCTTTTATCCAGAACAGTCCCCAAGGCCCTTCATGTCATTGACCTGTTTGAAGAGTTCAGGCCACTGTTCTGCAGAATATTCTTTAACTTGAATTTGTCTAATTGTCTCCGTATGATTGGATTCAGGTTAAACATTTTTTTGAGGAATACTTCATATCCTTAATATATCAGGTGGTGCTTTATGCCAGTTTGCCCCATAATTGGTGACTTGAATTAGATAATTAAGATGCCAAATTTCTCCCTTGTAAAGATACCCTTTCCCCTTCGTCATCAATAAGTATGAGTGTGGTGTGGGGTGATAAATATTTGAGACTGGGAATATCCTATCTCCAGTAGTTTTACACCCAGTGTTACTGTTCATTGGTGACCCTTTGAATCATTAGTACTAAGGTGGTTGTAAAAAAAGTGATTTGCTCTTCTGTAATTGTTGACATTTTTCTGTGAAGGTAAGTACCCACCCTTTAAAAACGTTTTAGTGTCATTTTCTCTTTCAGTGTAATAACAATTTCTGTTCTTCATTGTGATGCTCAAATTCAGCCCAAATTTGGCTGCTGTGTCCTGTTGGCATGCCTCCATCAGTCTTAGAGCATTTCTCCACTTTCTGGCACACAGGATGCTTTTCATGCTTACCTCGTATCTTCTCCACCCCCGTTTCCTCTGTTTACTTTCAGGTATGTTCTATTCATATAGATAGACGCATTTTCCTTCGCTGCCTGTTTTCTTTTTGCCTAAAGGGTCCTGTACATTCCTAGTTCCCACTCATGATTTGGAGATTGTTCTCGGCCTCATTTTTCTGCATTGTGTTCCATTTTATGAGTACACCACAGTTTATTTAACCAGTCTCCTTTTGATGGATAGTCTTAATTTTTTTGCTTTTATAAGCACTACTTTAATGTATGTATAATCGTTTCATGTCATTTTGCATATTACTGTATGTGTTTGTAGGGTAATTTCCAGAAGTGAGACTTAGGAGGCAAAGGGAATGTGTGTTTCCAATTTCAGTAGCTATTCCTCATTCAAGCTGTGTTCCTGGCGGCGGTGAGGATGCCTGTTCTTCGCCACCCCGTCCTCCCCCCTGGTGCCAGCACAACGCATTACCAGCCTTTTCTCCTTCGCCAGTCTGGTAAGTGGTAAAATTTCTTTGGTTTAAATCACCCTCCTATTGTAATTAGTAATGCCATCTTTCTTTGATTTAAAATTTATACTTAATTTTAAAAATCTTTTTATTTTAATTTTTAATTTTTGTGTTTTTGAAGGTAAATTATACTTTTTGTGAGTTCATTCATATTCTTTGTCCACTTGCGTACAAGTGCTTTTCGATAATGCTGTACATGTCATTGGTCCGTGAGGCTCACTTCCTCAGGAAGAGTCTCACCTGACGCCTGTCTGAGCCAAACCTCTCCTGATGACAGATGCCAGAAACTCACAAAACCAAGTCTATACAGAAAGGGAGATTTTCCAAAACCCAGGTGCAGCTGGACTTCACGAGGACTACCTTTGGGATCAAGGTGGTTGTCCTTTCTGTCACTCTCCTGGCTGTGTGGCTGTTTAATTCTCTGTTTCTGTGGACCAGCTTTCTCTGTTTCTTGTCGCACATGGTAGGAAATGGTTGTCCAGCCACTGGAAACGAGCCCCCGTTTCCAGGAGAGAGTATCGTTGGCCCCTTTTGGGTCAGGTGTTGCTCACTGGGTCCGTCAGCGGGTTGGTGCCAGGCCGTGGGGGCGTACAGAGGAGCGCAGGCTGGGCTGCTGCTGGGTCTGAGCTGATTGATGGCTGCGAGCCTTCCGCTGTATTCTTAGGATTATTCTGCTAAGCATGTTACTTTGAACTCTCGCCTGTTTGGTTGGTTTCCCCAGAGGGGGACCACCCTTGTCAGTGCCACCTGGATGAGAGGCTGTCAGCAGAGGGACATTCACTGTCGTCGCCTCCTCCAGGCCTGTGGTTAGTCTTTACAACAGAGATCTGGGCTCACGTACCGCTGGAGTGGGAAGATTCTGTGGGGTACCCAGCCAGGGATAGTTGTAAGGGAATCAATTGTTAGACCCTCAGCTTCCATTACACTTCCTAAAATCGTGGCCTGAGAACACACCTGGCTCAAGGGTTCCCTGTAACCTTTTTCCATTCTATGAAACGACGAAGGCAAACCCTCCACCCGTTCTAGTCAGAACACAGAATATTTCCCTGGAGTAGAAAAACCATCTCTGGGGCGCCATGGGGATAATTCCAAATATTGGTAATGTTGAGAATGTGACTCTTAATGATGGGGTAACAAGTCTTTTTGCAAGTTACAGTTTTCTGAGTCTTTACTTTTAACACAATTGGAGGAAAAAATTGAGTTGTCAGTTGGTCATTAAAAATAATTTTGATAGTCAAGACATGACTTGGTGTATTACTCAGGAGTTCATAGAATTCAGAGAACTTCCATTTCCATCTATGTATGAGAACAAAGTTTCTCAGTGCTTAATATCTATAAAAATAAAAAATAGGGATGGACTTGGTGCTGAAACTGTCTTACCTCAACAGTCAGCAAAATTCATCCATGGAAACGAACCAGCTCCTTCCCTCGGGATGCATTTCTAATAAAACTTTGCTCATTTTTAATAGTTACCAATATTTGTACTTTGTTGTTTTGATCAAATATGTACTAATTGTAATAATGCAATCTAGAGTAAAATATTTTTTAACACTTAGAGCCTTATAGTTACAGGAAATTAACCAAATTTAAATTTTAATATGTTGCAGAGAATTAGAAGTATGATCAATAGACGTTCAAACCTAAAAATATGTTACATTAGGGTAAAGTTTTGGGAGTATAAAATTTTAGATGGAGGAGTGAAATGGAAATACAAGTTCAAGCAGAAATTTGTCTTTAACAGAGATATTTTTAACTGGATGAAGTTAGATGTCCAATTGCAATGATATTTGCATTGCACTGGATTCATTTATATGAGTTATTTAATAGTTTAAGCCATTATTTACAACACACCAGAAACTGTACTCTTCGCAACTATTTTAACTTACAGTGAAAGGTTTTAGACATTAAACTTACATATGCAAAAGGGCACACATAGATTTTCAGAATTTTGAGTGCACAAGAGCAAGAAAGGTTGTAAATGGCGACTTTAGAATTCTCTTTTCAAAGAAGTACCCACTTACCCCTTCTTTGTTTTCTGGCAGCCAGATCCCCTTTCAGGGTCTGCCTAGCTTTTCTCCTTCCTGGTCCCCCATCCAGTGTGACTCTGGTGTGAAGCTCTCAATGGCAGGGTGAAGGTGGGAGTGGCTTTTGTACCACTGGCCGGCTTTCTATGATTTATATACTTTTTGTCCCCTTTATGAGTGTGGCTCTGGCAGGCTGCCCGACTCTCTGGCCCGTTGATCTTCAATAGCTAGAGGTTACACCACGGGCAATAATGATTGATTGCTGAGAAATCCTGGTAACTGTCTGGTTCCAGTGATTTAAT